TAATCAATTGATAAATAATGAATAAGTAAATAAATAAGTTTTAATCTGTGATTAATAAATGGGAAATGATGGGGAAGAGAAGGAGCAAAAAGACCCAGTAAAAGACGCAGAAGTTAAAATAATTAATTAATTAATCAAGTAAATTAGTTAAATTAATTAATTAATTTAATTAATCAATTAGGTTAACAAATTTAATTGATTAATTGAACTAATTAAATAAATTAAATAATAAATAAAAAGGCCCGACCTGTGGGCCCACGAATTGTAGTTTTTGGGGTCTTTGGCAATTGCTGCTTTCAAGCTGCTGCACTCCTCCTGGAACAGGTCGTTTGCTGCTGCTGCTGCTGCTGCTGCAGCAGCAGGAGCAGCAGGAGCAGCAGCAGCAGCAGCAGAATAGAGCTTGTCAAACAGCCACCGCCGGTGAAACCACGCCTGATAGTTCTTCAAGTTCCAGGCACACACTTCCCGGCAAAACCCTGCGCGCCCAAACCCTAAACCCTAAACCCTAAACCCTAAACCCTAAACCCTAACAAACCCTAAACCCTGAGCAGCTGAATAGCCAGCCAACGCCAAACACAAATCAAAGCAGCTGATTCATGCGCAGAGAAATGGCCTCTGAACCCTTTAACCCTAAACCCTAAACCCTAGCTGTAAACCCTCGCGTACGCAGCTCATCCTGATTCAGATATTGAGGGTTTAGGGTTAGAAACCTCCGCCTCAAGTACCAAGTGGTGTAGTCGCCGCTGTTAACCTCCATTGCTGCTGCATTTGCTGCTAAGAAAGACTCTTGCTGCAGCTCAGGGATGCTGCTGCTGTTGCTGCTGCTGCTGCGGAGAGCTGCCACGTCCTCGCAGTAGATCTCATGCTGCTTCTGCAGCAGAGCCTCGTCTGAACGCGAAAACCGAAAACCCTAAACCCTAAACCCTTAACTCTAAACCCTAAACTCTAAACCCTAAACCCTAAACCCTGAGATGTCTCTTCTGCTCGCCTGTTGGGCATCCGACAATCACTGCAACCTCAATATCGGTTCGGTCTGCTGCTTCTTCCATTGTTGTTGCTGCTGCTGCTGCTGTTGTTTGGAGGGCTGGTTTCGCCGTTGCTGCTGCTGCTGCTGCAGCTGCCCGGTTTCAGACGGTGCTGTTCTTCGTTTCTCGCTGATTCCTGTTATACAAATCCTGCTGCTGCTGCTGCGACTGCTGCCGCTGCTGCTGCTGCAACTGCTGCCGCTGCTGCTCCTTCTTTGCTGCAGCTCTGTCTCCCTGCTGCTGCACAGCACAGGCTAGGTAGCGGCTGCAGCAGACGCTGCAGCTGCTGCTGCTGCTGCAACGGAGGAAATATCCAAGGAGCAGCTGCTGCTCCACAGCGTCTTCCTTGACACGTGAATTGCTGCTGCTGCCGCTGTTGCTGTTGCTGCTGCTGCGACTGCTGCCGCTGCTATCGTTGCTACGGTCGCAGCAGTTGTTGCTGCTACCACGTAGGCAGCTGCCGCTGCTGCTGTTGCTGCTGCTGGAAACAGCAGCTGCTCCAACTGTTGCAGCAGCTCTGGATAGCTGCTGCAGCCTTCCGTGGCAGATGCTAATTGATGCTGCTGCTGCTGCTGCGCTGTTGTTGAGTTGTTGAGGCGCTAATTTTGAAGCAGCAAAGCCCTGAGAAGTATTTCCTGCCGCAGGCTTCACCCTGGCAACAGGCGCTGCAGCAGCAGTAGCAGCTGCTGCTGAGGGCGGATACGGTTTGCTGCTGCTGCTGCTGCGGCTATCTAGGGAAATCTAGAAGCTCCTAAGTGTTGAATTGATGCATTTAAAAGAAGTTTCTGCTTTGTGTGTAAGTAGGCATGTTGCTGCTGCTGTTGGTACAGCTGGTTCTGGCATTGGGGGGCAGCAGCAGCAGCAGCAGGAGCAGCAGCAGCAACAGCAGCAGCAGCCCCGATGAAGTCTTGTGGCGGTGCTGCTGCTCCTGCTGCTGCACGGGGTGTATGTACACCTCGAGGGACTGGTTCGATTTTTAGTGTTTTTTGGCCGCGTCTGTTGGCGTTGCTTCTGCTATTGCTGCTGCCGTTGCTGTTGCTGCTGCTGCTGCAGTTGCTATTGCTGCTGTCTGTGGCTGCGGGGTCCTTGCGCGGGGCCCCTTCCTCTTGACTAATTTGCAGAAATAAATAAAGTGATAAGAAGCAGCTTCGAAAATGAGTCACATGTTGGTAAGCCCCAGGTGTACGTACACCTCGCGCCCCCGGTGCTGCTGCTGCTGCTGCTGCTGCAGCAGCACTTGTCTCTTGTCTCCTCTCGCCCCCTCCACCGTGCCCCACGAGCTGACCCTTGTGTCTCACCAGCCAGTGCTGCAGCAGCTGCTGCAGCTCGTGCTGTAGCACTTTGGCGCTGGTGCAGCAGCAGCAGAGCAGCTCACAGTGCTGGAGCAGCAGCAGCTGCTGCTGCTGCTACTGCTGCATTCCTGAGGCGGGGCTGCAGCAGCTGCTGCTGGTTATCTGCAGCTGCCCTGGCTGCTGCTGCTGCTGCTGCAGTTGCCGCTGCTGCAGCTGCTGTTGCTGCTGCTGCTGCTGCTGTTTGCTGCTGCAGCACGCGCCCATTATCCTGCTGAAGGAGGGAGCAGACACCTCGCAGGGCCGCAGCCAAATCATCAGCAACATAAATGCCTGCCAGGTTATCGTCGACATCGTCAGGTCCACTCTAGGTCTGCTGCTGCTGCTGCTGCTGTGGCTGCTGCGGTTGCTGCTGCAGCTGCTGCTGCAGCAGCAGCTCTGTGTCTGCACGCTGCAGCTGGCGCCTGCGGGCGAGTGGCGGCGTGGCGGCGGCGCCCGCTGCCGCGCGCCTTCCCTGCCGCCGCTGCTGCTGCTGCTGCAGCTGCTGCTGCTGCTGCTGCTGCTGCTGCAGGGCCGCGGGGCATGGACAAACTGATAGAGGGGGAACACGGAGTGGCCACAGTCACAAACGACGGAGCCACAGTGCTGAAGCTGCTGCAGGTCAAACACCCTGCAGCAGCACTTTTAGTGGACGTTGCCCAGAGCCAGGACCTCGAGGTTAGGGTTTAGGGTTTAGGGTTTAGGGTTTGGGGTTTAGGGTTTAGGGGTGGGCGGGTGGGGGGAAGCGGAAGGCGTAGCGGGTTGGGGGTGCAGGGTGCGGCGGCGGCGGGCGCGCAGAGCGAAGATCTGGCGGCGAGGGTTTAGGGTTTAGGGTTTAGGGTTTAGGGCTTGGGGCGGAAGGGCGGGGAGTTGGCGCCGCAGGCTGTTGCACAGCAAAGCTTACTAGTGTTTAGGGTTTGGGGTTTCGGTGGTTTGGGGCGCTGCGGACCCCGGGCCGGCGGCCGCAGCCCTACCTAGGGTTTAGGGTTTAGGGTTTAGGGTTTGGGCAGGTGGGGGACGGTACGACTTCGGTGGTGGTTTTGGCGGGAGAGCTTTTGCAAGAAGCGAAAACTTTCATTGAAGACGGAATGGCCCCTCAAGTCATTGTCAAGGGTTTCAGAGCCGCCAGGGACCTCGTGAGCTAGGGTTTAGGGTTTAGGGCTTAGGGTTTAGGGTTTGCGTGCGTCTCGGTTTCAAGCTGCGCTGGATTCGCCCAAATTGTCGCCTTCGCACTGTCTGTTCTAGCCAAGTTGCTGCTAGTGAATTATGTAATTAATTGCTTCTCTAGGGTTTAGGGTTTAGGGTTTAGGGTTTCAGTAATAGTGGATTTGTTTTATTTTTTCTTCTACTTCTCCTCTCAGGCTCTTCAGCGCATCGAAGAGATCCAAGTCTGCCTCGCGACTCATAGCCCAGAGTGAGCTGCCAGCAGCTAGCTAGCTAGCTAGCCAGCTAGCTAGCTAGCCAGATGTCCAGCTAGCCAGCTAGCTAGCCAGCTAGCTAGCTAGCTAGTTAGCCGGCCAGTAGAGATCTAGCTACTGGCAGGTTCACGTAAATGCGCGCTCAGATGGCTAGCTAGCTAGCTGGCTGGCTGGCCAGCTAGCTAGCTAACTAGCTGGCTAGCTAGCTAACTAGCTACCTAATTAGCTAGCTAGCTAGCTAGCTGGCTGAGTGGCTAGTTTGCTAGCTAGCTGTTTGCGCTGCAGGAATCGCCGGGCGCTTTTGATTCGCTGCGCGGAGACGGCCCTCAACTCCAAACTGCTTTCTGCCCACAGGAGCTACTTCGCAGAGGCAAGCTGCTGCTGCTGCTGTTGTTGCTGCTGCTGTTGCTGCTGCTGTTGCTGCTGATGCTCTGGCTTTGGAGCGCAGCAGCTGCGTGTCCTTTTTTCTCCTGTCTGCTAGCTAGCTAGCCAGCTAGCGAGTCACCTAGCTATCTAGCCACCTAGCTAGCTATAGCCGCCTCGCCAGATAGCCACCTTCCCAGCCAGCTAGCTGTTTACTTGGATCCCCAGCTACCCCCCTAGCTTCCTAGCTGCCCAATTAGCTAGCTAGCTAGCTAGCTAGCTAGCTACTTCCCCAGCTTACCTATCCAGCTAGCCACCCAGCTAGCCAGCTAGCCACCCAGCTAGCCAGCCAGCCACCCAGCTAGCCAGCTAGCCACCCAGCTAGCCAGCTAGCCACCCAGCTAGCCACCCAGCCACCCAGCTAGCCACCCAGCTAGCCACCCAGCCAGCCAGCTAGCCAGCCAGCTAGCCAGCTAGCCGGCCAGCTAGCCGGCCAGCTAGCCAGCTAGCTAGCCAGCTAGCCAGGCAGCGGGTGCGCGTTGCGTGCAGCTGGTGGTGGACGCGGTGGAGCTGGTGGGCCCGGAGGGCAGCCGGGAGCTGCTGGGGGTGAAGAAAGAGGGGGGGGGGAGTTTGGGAGACAGCAAGTTGGTGAAAGGAGTAATTTTCAAAAAGACTTTTTCTTACGCGGGTTTCGAGCTGCAGCCGAAGCAGCAGCAGAGTCCCAAGGTGCTGCTGCTGAACCTGGAGCTCGAGCTCAAGGCGGAGAAGGAGAACGCCGAAATCCGCGTCGACAACCCCGAGGTCGCAAACCCTAATTTAGGGTTTGGGGTTTACGGGCTCCGCCCGCCCGGCACGCTGGGCTTCTTTTCTGCCCTTTTTACCTCTTTTTTGGCCTTTTAAGCCCTTTTAAAGTCCTTTTAAATCTCTTTTTTAATATCCTTTTTAATATTTTTTTAAATCTTTTTAATATCTTCTCTAAATCTTTGTGATGCCTTTTTTAAATCTTTTTAATAACTTAAATTCTTTTTCTTTTTCTCGCGGGCTATGCGCTGCGGTCGCCGCTGGGTTCAAATAGTTCGCAATTAATTGCAGTTTTAAGTAATTAATTAACAATTAAGTCATTATTATTTATTTATTTATTTATTTATTTATTTATTTATCTATTTCAGGATTACCAGTCTTTGATTGACGCGGAGTGGGACATCATTTACGAAAAGCTCCAGGCCATCGTCGACAGCGGGGCCACAGTGGTCTTTTCCAAACTGCCCATTGGTCTGCTTTTTTTGCTTCTTTTTGTCTCCTTTTTCGTCCCTTTTTGTCCTTTTTTTTGTCCCTTTTTGTGTCCTTTTTGATCTCCTTTTGTCTCCTTTTCGGTCTTCCTTTTGTTTCTTCTTTTGTCCCTTTTTGTCTCCTTTTAGCAATCCTTTTTCTGCCGTTTTCCTCGTTTTTCTCGCCTTTTTTATCCTCTTTTGTCTGTTTTTTTGTCTCCTTTTTCGTCTCTTGTTCGCGCCCTTTTTGCTTCCCCTTCTCTTCCTTTTTGTCACCTTTTCTGTCTCTTTTTTGTCTCCTTTTTATCTTTTTTTCCTCTTTTTTTTATCATTTTTGTCTCCTTTTTATCCCCTTTTGAACATTTTTGTCTCCCTAAAACAATCCTTCGTGGTCTGATTTTTGGCCTACCGGGGCTGCACAGCCCTCCAAAAAAAGCCCTTGCGAAACCGAAGACCATTTGAATAAAAACAAAATAAAATTAATCATTTAAGCTCCATTTAATCCATTTAATCCATTATTATTTATTAATTCAGGAGACCTCGCCACGCAGTTCTTCGCGGACCGCGAAGTCTTCTGCGCGGGAAGAGTCGAAGAGGCGGACTTGGAAAGGGCCGCGAAGGCCACAGGCGCGAAAATCCAGTCCACAGTTTATGGTCTTTCTCCCGACGTTTTGGGTACGAAAACTGTACCATTTTGACCCTTTTTCTCCCCTTTTGGCGCCCCACATTTCGCCCCTTCTTCTCCTTTTGTTTCTCCTCTTTCTCCGGATTTTTTTTCTGTTTGTTTTACCCATTTTGCTGCTCTAAGTGCTGAGCAACAGGGGTTTCTTTTGCAAAAGTTTTTCTCTTTTCCTGGTTTCTTTTTGGTGCTTCTTGTCTCCTTTCGTGTCCCTTTTTCGTCTCCTTTTTGTTTCTTTTTTGTTTCTTTTTTGTCTCCTCGTTGTTTCTTTTTTATCTCCTTTTTGTTTCTTTTTTGTCTCCTTTTTGTTTCTGTTTTGTTCCTGTTTTGTCTCTTTTTTGTTTCTTCTTTGTTTCTTTTTTGTTTCTTTTTTATTTCTTTTTGTTTCTTTTTTGTTTTTTTTCCATCTTTTTTGTTTCTTTTTTGTATTTATTTTTGGCCCTTCTGTGCTTTCTTTCGGCTAATTTTTGGCTTCACCCGAATCACTCAAGGCCGGCAATATTTGTAGAGATTTGGTGCTGCTGCTGCACATGCTGCTGCTGCTGCTGCACTTGCTGCTGCTGCTGCGGCCATCTGCCCTTCGCCGAAAGTGCATATTCCTTGGATGTTTTTAAGTTTAGGTCTGCAGACACCTCACCTCCCTTTAAGAGGAGCAACAATAATAATGACTCTTCCTTTCCTGCTGCTGCTGCTGCTGTACCTGCTGCTGCTCCCGCTGCTCTGCTGCTGCTGCTTCCCCCGCTCCTGCCCCGCTGCTCCCGCTGCTGCTTCCCCCGCTCCTCCGCTGCTGCTGCTGCTGCTGCTGCTGCTGCAGGGAGCTGCGGGCGTTTTGAGGAGGTGCAGGTGGGGAGCGAACGGTACAACTTGCTGAGCGAGTGCCCGGGGGCCCAATCTGCAACTTTGCTGCTGCGGGGGGGGGCCCCCCAGTTTTTGGAAGAAGCAGAAAGGTCTCTTAATGACGCAATCATGGTGGTTCGAAGAGCAGCAAAAACCCACAACGTCGTTGGAGGAGGAGGCGCCATCGAGGCGAGCTAGGGTTTAGGGTTTAGGGTTTGGGGTTGGGAGGGTTTGGGTCTCGGGTTTAGGGTTTAGCGTTTGGGGTTTAGGGTTTGGGGTTTAGGGTTTGGGGGTTGGGGGTTGGTTCGGGGCTCGGGGGTTTACTATATAAAGGGTTCGCGTTGGAGGCTTGGGGTCTAGGGTTTAGGGTTTAGGGTTTGGGGTTGGGCGTTGAGGAGGCGGTTTGTCGCTGAGAGGGTGCGCAGGCGCGGGCGGGTGGGCGTCGGAGGGTTTAGGGTTTAGGGTTTAGGGTTTAGGGTTTGTGTTTGGTGTGCAGATGGCGCTGTCGCGCCACATTCGGGACATAAGTCGGGGAATTTCGGGAAAACAACAATTAGTTTTCAGATCTTTTGCAAAAGCTCTCGAAGCAATTCCAAAAGCGCTAACGCGGAACGCGGGTTTCGACTGTACAGACACCCTAAACCGCCTGCGCCAGAAACACGCCGCAGCCAGCAACGGTCAGCCGAGGGTTTAGGGTTTAGGGTTTAGGGTTTGGGCAGCAGCACGTAGACCACTTAGACGCAGCAGCAGTAAATTCACGACAAAGATAGGGACAGAAGCAGCAGCAAACAGACAAAAGGAAGCAGCAGGCTGCTGCTGCTGCAGCAGACTGCAGCAGCAGCAAGCCTCCCCAGCAGCAGTAGCAGGCTGCTTTAGCTGCATCACGCTGCTGCAGCAGCAGCACGCTGCAGCAGCGTGCTTTTGCACTTGCTGCTGCAGCAGCTGCAGCAGCAACAGTAGCAGCAGCAGCAGCAGCAGGGCGTTGCGTGTGGGGTGCGCGCAGAGGTGTGCTGGATGGGCGTGGACTGTGTGGGGGGTGGGATCGTCGACTCCATGGCAGCACATGTCTGGGAACCTGCTGCAGTTAAGCAGCATGCAATTGCTGCAGCAACAGAAGCTGCTTGTTTGCTGCTTTCCATCGACGAAACCATCACCCAACCCAACCCCCAAGAGAGAAAGGGGGGCCCCCACTGACCCACTAACCCCGTCAGCCAAGGGGCCACCGGGGGGCCCCCACGGGGGCCCCAGGGGCCCCAGGAGGCCCCCCACGTGGCCCCGGGGGGCCCCACTGGGGCTCCTAGGGGCCCCAAGGGGGCCCCAGGGAGGCTTTAGGGGCCCTAGGGGGGCCTCCAGGAATCCCTAAAGGCCTGAAAGAGGGGCCCCAGATGCTGCAGATTGGGGACTTCAGTGGGGACTTCCTACGGCCTCGGGGGGGCCCCGTGAGGGGCCCCAGAAGGTCCTGAAGAGGCCCCATAGAACATCTGGTGGGGCCCCAGCAAAGGACCCTCGAGGTCTCCTATCGGGGCCCCTATGAAGCCCCAATGGGGGCCCTGTAGGGGGCCCCATGGGGGCCCCATGGGGCCCCTAATGGGGGCCCAAGGGGCCCACCAGCTAGGGTTCAGGGGGGGACTCCAGCAAGGGTATACTGCAACACTAAGTAACATGCACAGGCAGCAGCAGCAGCAGCAACTGCTGCTGCTGCTCCTTGGCTGGGTCTTGGGGTTTTGCTGGCTGCGTGCAGCAGCAGCGGAAGGCCGGAGTTGAGGCAGCAGCAAATACTTGCAATTAATTAAATTAATTTAATTAGTTTTAACATTTATTTTATTGGAGAAAAACCGAACAAAAGACTCGCTTGCAGGCTCTTGTCTCTGTTGCTTCCGTTTTTTGTCTGGCGCTCTGCAACTGCTGCTGCAATGCTAGCTGCTGTTGCTACTACTGCTGCGTTTGCTGCTGCTGCTGCACCTGCTGCTGCTGCTGCACTTGCTGCTGCTGCTGCACTTGCTGCTGATGCACAGAGCCCGTCGTAGAGTGCGCAGCAGATGGAAGCAGAAGATTTAAATAAAGGAAAAACGAAATTTAAATAAAAGCGAAAAGATCTTCGAAGGGACACGAAGACCAGCTGCATTACGGAGCAGCTTGCTGCTGTCGCTTTGTCTTGGCAACAGCAGCAGCAGAAGCAGCAGCAGCAGCAGCAGCAGCGGGAGCAGCTATAGCAGCAAGGGCGGCAGCGGCTCTTGAAACTGCCGCTGTTGTATAGCGAGTCCCCGCTGCTGGCGCTAGGCTCTTCTTTGCTGCCGTCATTTCGCCTTCGCAGGAGCAGCTGCAGCAGCAGCAGCAGCAGCAAGAGCAGCAGCAGCAGGGGCGGCTCTCGGGCCTGCTGCTGTGCTAGGACGAGCGGCCTTTGCATGGCTCTTCTTTGCTGCTCCCTTCCGCGAAGCAGCAGCGCCTTTTTTTGTGCGGCGGCTCTTTTTCTGCAGCAGCAGCAGCAGCAAGAACAGCGGCAGCAGCAGCAGCAGCAAGACCAGCAGGTGGAGCTAGGAGGAGAACCAAGCAACAGCGCTAGTACTGAAATCTTCACTGCAGCAGCAGAAACAATACTAGCAGCAGCAGCAGTAGCAGCAGCAGCAGCAGCACTAGTGCTAACCCTCTGCGCTGTTGAAAACGCCAGGCCAAGGCCTCCAGCAGCAACAGCAGAACCATAAAACATATTCGTGCTTGCTGCTGCTGCCCGCAGCAGCAGCAGAGAAAGCTGGGAAGCATCACTAGTCCAAGACGGGGTCCCCAGGGGGCCCCCAAGGGGGTCCCCTGGGGGCCCCCCTGGATTCTCCAGCGAGGCCCCACAATCCTGGGGGCCCCTCCCCTCCTCCCTAGGGGCCCTCTTTTCATCCCTTCCCGGGGCCCCCTTTGGGTCCTTGGGGGCCCTCTGGGGCCCCGCCTCCACTGAAGACCCTCTGGGGCTTCCATTTCCTTTAAGAGGCCTTCTGTGGGACCTCCGGGGGGCCCCCTGGGGCCCCCCTTGGGGCCCCCCATGAGCGCCCCCCTGGGGGCCC